TGTATGTCATAGCTCTAATGGAGGTATAAAAGAAAGTAGAAGGAAAAAGAAATGTTTCCATCTTAAACAGGCTTACACAGGGGTGAGGAGTGAAGAAACTCTCATGAATTTAAAGACCAGAGAAAGCAAATACCCACCACACATACCGTTCTTCCCAACTTTCCTGTGGCAGACTGTACCAATTGATCACAGCACATTTCCCTACTGAGTCTCGGAATCCTTCTGGGCCCAATGCTCCCAGGCGGACTCTGACTGATGGTTAGAGTAGGCACAAGAAATGAAACATATTTGCCAACCTGGGAACTTTAAACCAATCAAGCCAAATAAAGACACTGTGTCTCACAAGATACAATGAGTAAAAAGTATGTTGTTGTTGTTAGGTGCCATCAAGTTGGCTCCGACTCATAGCAACCCTATGTACAACAGAACGAAACACTGCCCGGTCCTGTGCCAGCCTCACAAAGAAAAAGTATGGGGCTTGTTATTTCAAATGCATGCAAAAATGGAGACTAACACATTCATGCTTTCCATAGTCAAGAGATGATACTTGAGCTCCTTTCTTACTGTGTGTCAGATTCTCTACTAGGTCCTGCAGATGACACTGAAGTGCATTAGAACAGGCCCTGGCAGCTTGCATGGAGAAACTGAGACTTTGGACTTGCTGGTAGACCTAGGGTGCCTCTCATGCCTTTGCCTGGCACTGAGGCTAGCCCACAGTTATTGTTGTTAGGCGCCATCGGGTCGTCTCCGACTCATAGCGACCCTATGCACAGCAGAACAAGACACTGCCCAGTCCCACGCCAGTTCCGCAATCCCTGCTAGAGCCCATCACCACAGGCACTGTGTCAATCCATCTTGTTGAGGGCCTTCCCCTCTTTTGTCGATCCTCCACCTTACCAACCATGACATCCTCCTCCAGGGAATGGTCCCTTCTGACAACATGACCAAAGTAGGTGAGACAAAGTCTGGCCATTCTCACTTCCAAGGAGCATTCCAGCTGCACTTCCTCTGGGACAGACTTGTTAGTTCTTTCAGCAGTCCATGGTACTTTCAGCATTCTTCGCCAGCACCACATCTCAAAAGCATCAATTCTTCTTCGGTCTTCTTTATTCATTGTCTGGCTCTCACATGGATATGAGGTGATTGAAAATATCATGGCTTGTGTCAGGTGTACCTTAGTCCTCAAGGAGACATCTTTGCTCCTCAGCACTTGAAAGAAGTCCTTTGCAGCCAACTTGCCCAGTGCTATACGTCATCTGATGTTCCATTGGCATCGATTGTAGCATCAAGCAATGTGAAGTCTTTGACAACTTCAATCTTTTCTTCATTTATTGTGATGCTGTTTATAGGTCCAGTTGTGAGAATTTTTGTCTTCTTTATATTGAGATATAATCCATGCTGCAGACTGTATTCTTCTATCTTCATCAGTAAGTGCTTCAAGTCATCCTCACTTTGAGCAAGCAAGGTTGTGTTGTCAGCGTATCGCAGGTTGTTAATGAGCTGTCCTCCAATCCTGATGCCGCCTTCTTCTTCATATAGTCCAGCTTCTTGGATTATTTTGCTCAGCTTATAGATTGAATAAATAGGGTAAAAGGATACAACCCTGACGCACTCCCTTCTTGATTTTAAACCATGCAGTGTCCCCTTGTTCTGTTCGAATGACAGCCTCCTGGTCTATGTACAGGTTCCTCATAAGTACAATTAAATGTTCTGGAATTCCCATTATTCTCAATGTTGTCCACAATTTGTTATGATCCACACAATCAAATGCTTTTACGTAGTCAATAAAAACAAGTAAACATCTTGTATTCTTTGCTTTGAGCTGAGATCCATCTGACATCAGCAATCATATCCCTCATTCCATGTCCTCTTCTGAATCCAGCCTTGCACCTCTGGGAGTTCTCTGTCAATATACTGCTGCAACTGTTTTTGAATTATCTTCAGTAAGATTTTACTTGCGTGCAATATCAATAATACTGTTCAATAATTTCCACATTCTGTGAGATCATCTTTCTTTGGAATGGGTACAAATGCAGATCTCTTCCAGTCAGTTGGGCAGGTAGCTGTCTTCCATATCTCTTGGCATAACTGAGTGAGTGCCTTCAGAGGGGCATCCATTTGTTGAAACATATCAATGGGTATTCTGTCAATTCCCAGAGCCTTGTTTTTTGCCAATTCTTTCAGTGCATCTTCGACTTCTTCCTTCAATACCATTGGTTCTTGTTCATATGCCACCTCCTGAAATGGATGATCATCTAATCATCTACCAATTCTTTTTGGTACAGTGACTCTGTGTATTGCATCCATCTTCTTTTGATGTTTCCTGCATCATTCAACATGGGATCTTTCAGTATTGCAATTTGAGGCTTAAATTTTCGTCAGTTCTTTCAGCTCAAGAAATGCTGAGCATGTTCTTCCCTTTTGGTTTTCTAACTCTAACTCTTGGCACATTTCGTTATAATAATTGACTTTGTCTTCTCGAGCTGCTCTTTGAAATCTTCTGTTCAGCTCTTTTATCCTGTGGATTCTCCCATTTGTTTTAGCACTCTCTGTTCAAGGGCAAGTTTCAGAGTCTCCTCTGACATCCACTTTGGTCTTTCCTTCCTTTTCTGACTTTTTAATGACCTTTTGCTTTCTTCATGGATGATGTTCTTGATGTCATCCCACAATTCTTCTGGTTTTCAGTCATTGTTCAATGCATCAAATCTATTCTTTAGATGGTCTCTAAATTCAGGAGGGATAAAATCAGGGTCATATTTTGGCTTTTGTAGAGTTGTTTTAATTGTCTTCAGTTTCAACTTGAACTTGCATATGAGCAGTTGATCATCTGTTCCACAATCAGCTCCTGGCCTTATTTCGGCTGAAGATAGTGAACTTCTCCATCACTTCTTTCCACAGATGTAGTCAATCTGATTCCTGTGACTCCGTCTGGCAAAGTCCATGTGTGTAGCTGCCATTTGTGTTATTGAAAAAGGTATTTGCAATGAATGTCATTCATCTTGCAAAATTCTATCATGCTATCTCTAATGTGATTTCTGTCACCAAGGCCGTATTTTCCAACTACTGGTGATTCTTGTTTCCAACTTTTGCAGTCCAATCACGAGTGATAATTAACACATCTTGATTGCATATGCAGTCAATTTCAGACTGCAAAAGTTGGTAAAAAATCTTCAATTTCCTCATCTATGGCTTTGGTGGTTGATGCGTAAATTTGAATAATAGTAGTATTAACTGGTCTTCCTCATCGACATATGGATATTATCCTGTCAGTGACAGCATTGTAGTTCAGGACAGATCTTGAAACATTCTTTGTGATGATGAATACCATGCCATTCTTCTTCAATGTGTTATTTCTGGCATAGCAGATCATATGGTTGTCTGATTCAAAATCGCCAGAACCGGTCCATTTCAGCTCACTCATGCCTAGGATTTGGGAGCTCTGGTAGCATAGTGGCTAAGACACTTGCCTGCTAACCAGACGGCTGGCGGTTCAAACCCACCAGCCACTCCTCGGAAGCAAGGTTGGGCAATCCTACTTCTGTAGTGATACTGCCTCGGAAACTCAAGGAGGGGTCGCTATGAGTCGGGTTTGACTTGACGGCACATAACAACAACAACAACAACAATGCCTAGGATATCGATCTTCATGTGTTCATGCATAATATGTGTTGCATATTATTCTGTAATTAACATTGATAATAAACATTACTAAGAATTCTCTATGATCTGGTACGGGAGGAAGTCAGTGGCCTGTGGGGGAAGTGACACCGTGAGTTATTGCACTGGGTGACAACAATCCTTGTGAGGTCATTGCATCCTGGGCCTGGCAGGTAGGACATGCTCAGTAGGTGCCAGCTACTGTCATCATGACTAACTCACGTCTTCTGTTTATAGATGAATTGAGCAAAGTCCCGTGTTGGTGGTCGTATGTTGCAGGAGATGAGGTGAGGTGGGGGACTGAGGGGCCTCACCAGCCCCTCTGGCCTCTCTCAGCAGGTCCCACAGTACACAGTCATCAAAGCTCAAGGCTGCACTCACTCACAACTCCTCTGGGAAAGGACCAGGGTCCCGCAGGCGATGCTGCCCTTTCCGAGTGCGATTCGCTGATGAGACCCTACAGGACACAGCACTCCGCTACTGGGAACGTAATTGTGCAAGTAAGCAGACAAACAAAATGGGGGGGGGGGGTCGGTGGCAGGACTTTAGGAGGGCTCCAGCTTGGAGAGGGAGACCAGAGGCTGTGGCCCTGGGCTGTAGAGTGAAGGGCTGCCTGCAAGGGCCAAAAGCCACTGACCAGTCTTAAGCACCTGAACCTCACTGGAAGATGTGTCATTGATTGTCCACAGCCCAGTAGAAGTGTCCCAAGGTGAGTACTGTCAGGGAGTAGGCACAGTGGTAGCCCAGGAAGTGACAGCCATGCAGGCCTGGCCACCACAGCAGGACTTTTCACTGCCAAGGAGTCCTCACAGACTACATATGCCTGCCTCGGAGCCAGCACCCACAGCCTCCCGACCCCACAGCCTATAAGAGGATGTTGAAGGTCCAGACACCACCTGGAGCATCTTTCTCCCATCTTCCCTTCTCCTGGGGAAGATGAATACCACCTGGCCAGGCAAAGGAGCTAAACTCTACCAGCTCTAAGCTGGAGCCGCAGGTCCCAGTGCCTAGGCGGAAGTTTGCCCTCTGCTCTAGGGATGGGTATCATAGTGTCGGTGGCACAGTTTCCAGTGAGTTTTTTTGAAGGGGTGGCAGAAGGCAGGCGTGAAGAAGTTGTGTTCTTGGCCTGCCATGACCATTGCCAACCTTTCTGTATCTGCTCAGCCTCTTCTCAGCCCTGCGTGTGGCAGGCCCCACACCCTCCAGCAGGGGCTCCAGCAGGCAGCATTCTGTTCATTGAGCCCCTACCACACAAAGTTTCAGGAAACAGCAGCCCCACAGCCTAGCAGAAGGTCCCAGACCTCCCTGGATTCAGCAGGGACCCCACCCAGCCTCCTTAGGGTCACAGGAAGTAGATGGGACTCCAGGTTGCCAGCCTTCCGGTTGTTGGATGGGGACACTCAGGCTCCTAACGCAGAAGGAGGGGTGCACAGGCAAAGGGGTGGGGTTTGGCCTGTTGCTGCCCAGTTATTTCCATCCTGAGGCAGCCTTGGAGAGGCTAGGGTCCCTGACCAGCCAGAAGGGCAGCTGCTGGGCAGGAGGGGCTCTACACCACTAGCCCTCCCTCCATCCATCTCTTGGAGTGCCACGGTGGGGTGAGGAACTACCCACTGCAGGAAAGGGGGCCCATTTTGGCCTGGAGCAGGACTGTGTGTAGTTGAGGGAGGGCACATAATAATGACAGAAACAGTCACACAGGATAGTTTTAAAACCAAGTCTGCTCTGAAGCAGCCAGGAAGGGCTGGGGCGCCTTGGGTTGCCATGGAGACAGATCTCTGCTGGACCTGCCTGCCAGAGGAGGAGGAGGAGGGCGGGGTGCCACCTCCCCCCCTTAGGTCCTGACCTGTGTCTCTCTCCCACAGTCCAGCAGAGCCTCCTCGAGAGTGGGACAGACATCGAGCCAGTGGTGTCAGAGCAGGTGTTCAGGACTGTCGGGAGATGGCTGGAGACTTTGCCCAGAGCCATGTGCCCTGGGACCAGGCAGGAGACGGCCACTACCAGCTCTTCCTGGAGCTGGGACTGCCCTGGCCTGTGAGGCTCCCCTCCTTGCCTTGTAGACCTCCAAGATGGGCCCTTTCAGCAGTGGGTGGGCCTGGGACTTGGGGTCCATAGCTCACAGCCTCCTGTGTCTCTAAGGTCCAGCCAGGAGCCACGGGTCTGCTTCTCTGACAAGGCCATGAGCTGTGGTCTGCCCGTCATCCACAGGGCAACCTCGCCGAGGCAGCAGGGGGACCTCAAAACCCACCGCATCCTGGAGCAGGTGGGCATACTGCCCCGCACCTGGAGCCAGAAGTTGGTGAGAACCTGCTGGGGGCCAGCCACCCAGAGCCTGTACTTGGGAGGGGGCCCAGGGCGTGGACTCAAGATCTGGGCTCTCTGGTACCATGAGCACCTTTGTAATGGCCCAGTTCCAAGGCCTTGCCTCTCCCTCAGAGCCCAGCAGTCAAGAGGGTGAGCTCTGAAGCTCAGCCTCCTGGGCTCAGATCCCACCCTTTGCAGGATGGGAAGCCTTGAGGAGGTGGCTCTGCCTTTCTGCATCTCAGTGTCCTCATTTGTGAAGTGGGGATGACAACAGTGCTTGCCCGTGGGGTCACAGCATAAAATCCCCCTGGGCCCAGGGAACCCCATCTCCTGCCCCAAGCCTCCCCCCCGCCACGTTGCCCAGCTAGCTGGTCCTCTCTTTGATCCAGGGGTCCTTCCTGCCTAAATTGGTGCTGCAGTCAGTCCTGAAGTGAAGCCGTCCAAAGGGTTACCAGCTCCTCCTGCCCTTGGAAACACTGCCTCGGTTTCAGAGGTGAATGCCCCCTGGAACCCATGCCCAGGCCTGCTGGGGAGCTCAGGTCAGGGAATGAGTAGAGGCCTCCCCTGCCCCGCCAATAAACGCACATCCCAGGTGGCTGGGACACACTGCCAGGTCTCTCAGTAGAAGCCTCTCCCCGTGTTTACTGGACTGTGGGGTTCCTGGTCCAGGACTCCCGTCTGGGCCAAGGCTGAGGGCTGTGGGCAAGGCAACTCCCAGGATCCAGAGCTTGGCCCAAGTGAACCCTCTTCTGGAAAGTGGGAGACCCTGCCATGTACCTTGAATGGGGGCCCAAGCCCTGTTAATCTAGATCTGTCCATGCGTATGAACTACCCACTGCAGGAAAGGGGGCCCATTTTGGCCTAGAGCAAGGCTGTGTGTAGTTGAGGGAGGGCATGTAATAATGACATGGCCTGGGAAGGAGACCCCCAGCCTTCATCTTTGACCCCTATGGGGTGAGGGTGCCCAGACTCCAGATAAGGGCAAAGAGGCCTGGGGTGGATGAACATCTGTCTTCTGAGTTCCTTCGACTAGATTCACACCATCTGGTCCCCAGAGGGCAAGCATCTGGGTGGCCCAGGACCAGATGTTTCTCTCTTTCTGTGTGTGTGGGGGGGGGGTAGCAGTGTTCAAAGCAGCGGTATCAGGACACATCAGAAGACCAGGTGACAGCCACTGGCACTGCTGGAGTCTCACTGACTACTGTTCTAGCTCAGTGTCCCCAGGGCCACCTCCATACACCTTCTGCCAGGTTTGAACATGGTTTGAAGGAGGCCTGGTGGTGCAGTCTTGAAGCACTTGGCTGTGAACTAAAAGGTTACTGGTTTGAACCCACCAGCCTCTCCACTGGGAGAAAAGATGTGGCAGTCTGCTCCTGTAAAGATTACAACCTTGGAAAACTTACGGGGCCATTCTACTGAGTCTCACTCAGTCTTAACTGTTGTTAGATGCTGTCGAGTTGGCTCCAACTCATAGTACCACAGAATGAAACTCTGTCCGGTCCTGTGCCAGCCTCACAACCCTCGGCTATACTCAGTCCTAGAGGATCGCTGTGAGACGGAATCCACTGCATGGGCAAATGGTTTGATTTTGGGCGTAATTTGAGCCCTCTCCTCTCTCCTAGCAGCCCTTTGACCCAACGCTCCACCCCTGCTCCAATAGCCAAGATTCATGTCTTTATCGCCACCTTCTGGCCAGTGAGGAAACAGCCATGGAGCCCACATCAAGGCGCAGGGTTAAAGCAAAAGAAATGGGTTGTTAGTGGTGGGATTTGCACTGGATTGGAGGGGGGTGGGGATCTTGGGGCCTCGTGGATAGTGGATGGGCAGGGAGTCCTTTTGAAAATGAGTGCTCTGGCTCAAGAAGAAAGGCGACTGATTTAGGAACAGCATGAGCAAACCCTTTTGAGAGGTAGAATGGGGGGGTCAGTGCTACAAGCCCCCTTCACTGGAGCGGGATTTCAATTCTTGGGATGACCACCACTCCCCTTACTGGGCTCTTACGCCCCGGTCCCTCGTATTTTTATTTCTTGGAGAGCAGGCGGGTCTCAGAGAAGGCCTGGTTCTACCACACCGTCTTCCGGTGACCCTGCACAACCCGCCCCGCCCTCTCTGAGCCTCAGTTTATCCCCAAGGGGTGCGTTGGGCCCGCGTCCCGCCGCCAACTGCGATGCCGCGCCGCGTCCACGCGGGGGCAGTGTTGGCCTGGCTTTGGCACCTCCTGACGACGCTGAAACTTCGCAGGCTCTTGCTAAAGGGTCGGAAACTTTTCCCTCCTGCGCGCTGCTCCCGTCTTCCCACCACCGACCCCTTGCTCCCGCCGCCGCCTGCCTTCCCGCCCCGCTCGGTTCCAAGCTGCCTCCTTTCCACCTGCCCGGAGTTCGCAGTTGGAGCTGAGGAAGAGGGAAATCCCCGCCCCAAGACATCCCCCCACCGCCCCCACCACACTGTTTTGTCCCCCTCTCAAAAACTGCTAAGCTTGCAACAGCGCTGTCAGCAACGAGCACTGGAAATTGAGTCCCGTGTGGAGCACGGGAATGAGGAGAGGCTGCTGGAAAAATCCTTGGCGGGGTGTGCGTGTACGTGTGCGTGTACGTGTACGTGTGTGTGTGTGCGCGCGTGTGTGTCTAGAGCCTAGAGCCAGGCTGGGCGGGGCAGGCCCCAGGATCTCGGAGCGCCTTCTTAGCGGGGCGGCCTCGGCTGGGGCGAGGGGTCTTGGCCTATCCTGCCGGAAGGGAGGGGCAGGATTGTCTACCCCAGCCCTCCCGCGGGATGCGGAGTGTGCAGTCTGGGCGTCCCAGGCGTCCAGCGCCACTGCGGCCAAGAGCCTGCGGGCGTGTCGCCCTCCGCTCCCCGCATCCCTGCCTCCTGCCCTCATCCTCCCTGCTCCCGTCGCCCCTGCCTCCCTGGCTCCTCCTCGCCTCCTACCCTTATTTATTCCTTGGTCTATTCCTTTCTCCATTCTTCTTCTCTCTTTCCACATGGATTCTGTGTCAAGAGGACCTTGAGCGTGAGCTTGGGTCCTAAGATCCTGCCACTGGCTCACAGCACAAATACATACACTCAACACACAGGGACACTCATAGACACCGCCCACAGTCACACAGCACCCATAGGGACACCAGAGAATAACCCCACAGACATAACTCACACACACATCACTTACAGAGCCATCACACACACACACACTTCACAGACACACAGAGGGACCTGAGAAACACACACTGCACAAATAAACACTACACACCTGCATCCCACAGACACACAGAGACACCACACCACACATGGACAGAGAACACCCAGAGACACCCCCCCACACACACACACACACAATTTCAGAGACAGAAAGAAACATGCCACATGGAGTGAGAAACACCACACTCAGATGCACACCACACAAACACCCCCCCAACACACACACCACAGTCACACCAGAAACATGCCCTCCCACGGTTAGGGCCTCCAGCCCCCACTTTCTGGAGACCTGCTGCTGACCGGGAGAACACAGAAGCCCCCCTGCCTGTCTGTCCATCATTAGTCCCAAACGACCCCATCCCGAGGCTAAGCCTGAATCTGGGATGACCAGGAGAGGCCAGGGGTCAGGAGGAGGTGCCGCTGGAGGGGACAGAGACCTCTCCAGCTGTGGCTGGGTCCTCAGTCTCACCCTCCCTGGCCTAGACCCCAGGTCTCCCACAAGGGTTCCAAAGAAGGCCCGTTTTTGCTGGTACATTTCCACTGGGACTGGCAAACAGCCAGACTTCTGAGCTCTGGGGAGCAGCATGGTTGGAAGGCCGCGAAAGTGGCTGCAGCTGGGGGCTCACACCCTGGTTCCTGGTCCCCTCGATCTCAGACTTACCAGAGCTGCTGGAGGGGGCAAGGCAGGTAGAGTTCCCCCTCTCCTGGCCCTCAGGCCCCTGCTCTGGGAGTTTGCCTTGAGTGCTTAGGGCCCACCCTGTTCCAACCCCACCCCACCATCGGCCATGGCCGGACCCTGTGCCAAGCCAGGGAAGAGGGTAGCAGAAGCTGGGTTGGGAGATGGCAGAGACAAAGAGATGAATCCTGATCCAGGGCAGAAGGCTGAGTTGGGAAAGGCCAGAAAAGCATTGTTTCTTTTTCCTAAGCACTGCTCACCTCAGTGGAGTCTCTCTACCACATTTCCTGATGAGGAAACCGAGGCCCAGGGAGGTTGGGGATTTTGCCCAGGCCATGGAAAGCTGGAGCTGGTTGGAATTCTGCCAACATCCAACCCTCAGCTGTGCACACAGGCATTCTCGTAAGCCCCTCTCAGAGTAACTAGTAGGAAAAACGAGGCCCAGAGAGGTTAAACTCTTTCTCAAGGTCACACAGCTATTAACTAGTGGATCCAGGATTCTAACTCATTGTAGTGAGACAGCAAGGTACAACCATGCCTCTAAGCAGGAGGAGCCTCATCTCCAGGAAAGCAGTGCTGGGGGGGCTTCTGTCCCTGGGGTGAGCGGGATGCTCTGGGGGACCCTTCCTGATCCACCCTCTTGCACATGGCCCTCTTACAGGCAGAGAGAATTAGGGCAAGGTTAGAGAAAAAAGTTTTTTTTTGGAGATGGGGGAATTTGGGGGAGGGACGAGTGGGATAGCAGGAGCCAAGGGGCTAGGCAGGAAGCCTCAGGTTTCCTGGAGGGTGGGGAATACTGGGCTCATGGGGAACAGCAAAGGCAGTGCTAATGCCAGATGGCACTAGGAGCCCCTGAGGGATGTGGAGCCCAAGAGAAGCCACCAAGGAGGGCTCCAGGACATGAGCTGCCCCCATAGGCTCGTTCATTTTCTTTCTGCAGGTTGTTCACTGAGCACATGCCCGGCCCTGGATACACAGCTGGCACCAGAATGGCCAGCCCTGCCCTCAGGATTGTACAGTCCAGTGGGGGACATGGACTCAAATGGGTGCTAGGACAGGAGGTCCAGGACTTTAGGAGCCCAGAGGGACACTCAGCCAACTCTGCAGGGGTGTGGAGTGGACACCTGGACCATCTGAGAGCGTCAAGGGGAGGTGTGGTCAGGGCTGGACACAGGAGGAAAAGTGCAGGAAAGGAGGTGGCTGCCTCAGT